TTCCCGTAATTAATGCCACAATATCCTTCATCCTGAGCTCTGGTTATACTATATTGTTTTTATTTATTTATATATATATTTTTTTAACTTAACTATACTTCTTGTATTTTCTATTACATTGTTTGTAAATTTCTTTATGTACATATCAACTATTGTAACGCTTTTCTAATTCTGGTTATATAATAATTTGTAATTGTCGAGCCATCATATTTCCTAATAAAGGCTATTATAAAAAATTAAAAAAATAAAAAAAAGCTTAGATTAGATGTTTGACGCCAAGTTTGGTATTCTGCATAGTTGTAGTTTAAGATAAAAACACGTCGTATTTAAAAAATATTTGACGCAAAAAAAACAAACAAATTAAATAAACATTATACAACCGAGACTTTGCAAAGTAGAAGATATACGTTTCCTGCACCAAACAAGTATAAAATATTTTTTTCCTGAGCTACAATACACACGTACTATAATGTTATTTGTGATCGTGCTAATTTTTTTTAAATTATAATATACGCGAAAGGGTCATGATTACACACCCAAGTGTACATAATACACCAACGAGTACATAATTGGGACATAAGTTTATAATAATATATTATTAATAATATATTGCCTTTCAGCTTTCTCTATAATTAAAGATTTTACAAAGATAAAACGAACGTTAAGTCGTAACTATTCAGTATTATTATGTAGAGAAGTGGATTAATAATTAAACGTGTAACACTTTACATCAACATATAAATGTATCACCATGATCTGACAGAATCGCATATAACTTTATGTATATCTGTCAGATCACCGTGATACTGAAGATAGCTTCATGTCCGTAAAAAACACTTGAGCCATTGGAAAGCACTGTCCTAATAAAAAAAACCGTTTTGGACACTATTCAATAAGCTGTGTAGTTTTGGAAATAAACTTTGATACAAAACTGAGACGTTATTTTTAATTTCAGGTTACAATGTTGAGTAGTACGAGTATTTTAGCTTTAACCTTGCCCGATAAGTTGTAAACATAAAAACCTCCAAAACTGGTCTACGCGAGATAACTTTTTTATGAATAACCAGCTCTAAATGACGATGTAAGTATAAATGCTAATAATTGTAATATTACTAGTTACTCATCATTATTAAGATAATACATTTATTATGCTAATGATATTTATTAATTAAAAAATAATTTCACGATTATTTTCTTTAAATGTGAGGCCAAATCTATTTTTTTAAGTAGTTTATACCAATGATTTTTCTTAATTCGGATGCGATCGGAAAAATATGAATTTTTTAACAAAAAAATGATAACAAATCACAAAGACTTTAATTTTTAATTCTATTTTTCCAGACCTTTCCAAAATTTGGTTGTCAGCCAGTGGTCTATAATGAATGTTATAGCGATGGCCGAATGAAACCTACTCATGCGTGTTTAGAGTTCTCTTTTGGAAAACTAGGAATCCACGGTATTTGTGGCGTCTGGATTTTTGTTATTTATACATTTGTACTTGGGCACACATTACGGCTCGTAAAGAACAACGGATATGAAACAATACTATAACAAATTAACAATACTGCCGAGCTAATGAAGTAAATGCATGTGCTAATTATTGAAGCATTTTTTTTAAAATTATTGTATTAGAACGCTAAACAATTGGCGAGCGAAACGAATAACAATCAGCCGTAATTTTCCTAAAAACTGTTTTGCACCTGTTGGAAAATGAAAACATCATGATCATATATTTTGTGTGCAACTATGATTTAATTTAAAAGTATAAATAACATAATATATTATAGTTTACTCTATGTTATCGACGGATTTTTCTAGTGCCTAATGCTGCTCTGATAATTGACTAAAAATGTATATTACACAACTTATATAAGTAGATTTACTAAAAAAGCTTGCGAGACAACTTTTGAGTTGCGTACGAAAGGACATATAAAATGGTATTTATATATAACACATCGAATAACTTTTACCTTAAACTCAAACCATTATACAATAGTACATATTTCATAATCCGAGAAAATCGTTTTTCACTACTAAAAGTAAAACGCCTTTATACTAAGATGACCGTGATGCTATTATTTTCACTTTTTCGTCCCATTGCTCAGACATGCATGACTCTGTGGTCATGTCATTCTGTACATAATAAAAGAACAAGGTCATCGTCTCTTCTTTTTTCTTTATTGTGTAGTTACATCAATTATCGTCCAGGAAGTTTCTATAGTATTTTAAGACATTTTATAAAAGCGAGTATTTCTCTTGGTTCTTCTAGTGGTGACTGACGACATCCGAGAAGGAGTAAAAAGTTACAGACTACACTGTAGCACGTGCACGTTAAGTTAATTTTGTAGTTTTTCTATGCTCTGTGTCTCTACGTCAAAACACTTATTCTCAACTCGAAATATTACTTTACATAATATGAAATATGAAAACTTTAATTATGACAGCAACTCATAATCGAGTATAAACTTAATTAGGTTAATTAGGCGCCAACTTGCGAGCAAAATATTATTCCATAAAAACTTGCTTGTTTGACGAAAATTTACAAAGATAGCTTTTTTGTAGGAAATTTAATTTCCTTCAAGAATATGTATCAATAGAATTTTTCAGGCCAATAATTTACGAGTTTTGGATAAAAAAATGCCATTAGTGTAAAAAAAACGTCAGTCGTCATGATAGGTATCTTAATATCAATATTAAGGGCTCTAACTTTCAACATAATTTTTTTTTATCATGAACAATATTTTCATAGTACCGTTCAAAAAAAAAATGTTCGTTTTTCTTTAGCCCAGTCTAATATATATATATTATAAATATATATATATATTTGTGTCACTGAGTAAATTTAACTAGAGTATCAGCTGATGAGCTGGTGACTAGAGACGATCAAGTGACCAATGTAATTTTATAATGCACACAAATGTTAAGGAATCAAACGGACATTCTACAATTTAATAAAAGTCCACCTAAAAATTCAGAACAATTTCCTGTGTAAACTATTAGTAAAAAGTATTTGCTATTCAAGTCTATTCAATCGATCATCGATAATCGTTTTTTTTTTGTGACACGGTACACGTCCTTTCAAAACGCCTACCATCCCACGCTCCTGCTGCTGTCATGAGCATGGCAACGAACTGTTTTTACCTTGCACAATATGCATGAAATATATTAAGCGTTAATAGCATACGCACATTCTCCTTCGAAATTTATCATAACATAATGATAGAGTAGTATTGTACTAGATAAAGAATAGAACGCCACTTTGGTACGCGGTCACGTGTGTTGCTGTATCATTCTCTATTGTATTAATGTTATCACGCATATTTGACCGTTACTATTAAACATGTAGAGTTATATGAATATTACTAGATCATTGCTTTCGGTTACAGCTTAGAATCATAAATCAAAATAAAACAATCAAATATTGAGTATCCATCACGAATACATGATAATTTCTCTAGTCTAGCATTACATTTTTATTGACCAGCATATTTCTTAAGAGCTGTGCGAAAGGATGTTTTTTGAAGATGCTGCTGGTGAATGGCTTAGAGAAAATCAACTGAATAGAAAAGAAAGACTCACTAAATTATTCATAAATAAACAAAAGCTATTTTTAAACATAACATCAGCTGACACATTGAGTATCCTTTGTTTACCATTCAGGTGGGGAGGGGAAGGGGCTGTAATAAATCATAAATAAATAAATACTTTACCTATTAAAGGTTCATACAACATTTTTAATCGAAATAACTACGTAAAAAATAGTTTTGTAGTTTAAAAATATAACTTTTGAAAACAAAACAGCAACCTTTATATTTCAGTTTTCTCAGATGAATAAGTTAATTTAGAATTGAAGTTATAATAAAAATAATTACTGATCGATAACTAATTTTAAATACATATTTAGATTTCTATTTGATTAAATTACCCTCCAAAACTAAATTTTTACATAATATTTTTAAAACATTTATTTTTGGTTAGTTATTATCTTAATAACGTTTTTACATAAAACGTTTACCTACGTATTGATTTTACTGACAATTATGTAAATAATTACTAATAAATAGCAGCTGTTAAAAGTAGACTAGGTAAATTATTATTAGCTTCAATAACCTATAGTGTACGAACTACTAAAATACAGTCGACTGTAAACATTTTTATTGTTTGCTGATATTAATAATACAGTTGAATATCCGTTATATCCAGACGATATCAATAAGTTGCCAAGTTTAAACAAACGTGCAGAATTTTTTAATAAATTCTTATTTCCTATAAAAAATAACAGTGCAATATCCCATATTATATATGACGCTGTCGTATGTTATTGGAGCGAGTACAAAAAAAAAACATCTAAAAGTTGCGAGCACTTACACACTTTACACAATTTTTAACATCTACTATTAAATAACCTCAATATTACTATGAAAACAATTTTAAATTGGCCAATTCAATAGGAATTTTGTTTCGATGATTAGTGTTTTTCAGACAATGATGGCAATCATTATGTAACTACTTTGAGGGTGTTCGCGTGTCCCATGATACAAGTATACTACCAGTTTTTTTAGAACTGTCATGTTTGCAAACAACAATTTACAAATATACTTTTAAATTAGTAATTATAACTTTTAGAATTGCAGTCGATTTTAATTAAAAATAAACTAAAAAGTTAATTGACTGGTACATTATGGACGTTTAAAAAAAATGTATATAGATTAGGTTATCTTTGTATAGTATTACTAAATACTAGTTATTATTATTATAAATCAATGAAACCACAAAATAGATACGTCAACTATTTTTGAGTCGCATTCATACAAAGTGTAAAACATCAACATTATTACCGAAATTTGATTCTAAGAATAAGCTAAGTACAAAAACTTTCATACAATCTGTAAGTTGAGTGTAGTTATTCTACAAAAAAGACCCTCATATTTTTTGCAACAACATAGATAAATTTATTTTGATCTATCCAATAAAATATTAATTATAAGGTTAATCCATACCTGATTTAGTCCAACTTTGTACAATGATTCATCTAAGTCCGCCTTTGACATGATTTCAGTTACACTTTGTCGATGGTCTTTAAGAGTGCCATTAACATCATCGGTTTTTAAACTATTTGGTAAAAATACTGCAAATTTGCGAACAAATTCTACAATAAACATGGAAATAGGATAACCCTGCTTGTAAAAACGAATTGTAGGCAAAATATCAGCACCACGCATCTAAAATACCACAAAAAATGTTTTTATAATTACTTCTTGACATAAAAAAATAGCTCTAAATGGTATCTCACTTGTTTTCTTAACAGTGGTATATCGACAACATCCGTATTTGGTTTATTTGTAACAGGACTTAAAGTCGCTGAGGTTAACTTATATGATGAATGAAATACTCGAGTGGCCGCTACATCGGTTCGGTTGGTGTGACCGGCATCACATTTAGCAATAAAACAGTGTACATAATGTTGTCCAGTACGACGTAAAGTTTCAATTAAACCATCCTGAGTACATAATAAATGTAGATAATAAATCTGCAACATTATAAAATAAAACAAAAACTGTACCTACCACAGAAAATCGTATTTGTACAGATGTTAATTTTCGTTTTAAAGTAGCCGTAGTATTCAAACTACCAAATGTTGCTCGACGAATGCTGGACATCCTTCGTAGTGACTGTGTGCCATCTACAATAGCCAAAGTGCTAGTAAGTCCGGCTCCACGGCTTTTAGAGAACACCGTTGAGATGTCAATACTGATATAACAAAATAATTTAATGTCATGTTAATAAATATATCTTTTATAAATACTTTTTTTACAAATTACAAATAACTATAAATTTACTTTGAAGAATCATGAAGTAAACCAATTGCTGTTTTTGACATGCTATCCCGACACATATCGGTCCAACCATTAATACTATAAGTGCTTGGAATTGCTTCTCGAAAATGAATTAATATGAATTCATCAGACCGATTGCCCTTCTTCAAAATATTTGAAAACGCTAAAAAAAATATAAAAATTTATAGTTATTAATTTTCAAATTATATTAGCCTAAAATTTAAAACTAGTTTCTTTTTATCTAATGGTCAAATTTACCTAATTATTGTCATTACAAACCCTATCCACAATACAAACTCACACTTCTACACTTTTTACACCTAATATTATCGATGAGTTTTTGATAATATTAAATAAAATTCCACAAGTGACTAACACTTAAATGTTAAAATTTAAGTTCTCAAAAAATATGAGTAATCCAAATCAGGATAACTAAAAATTGAACCAAAACTATTAAATATTTGATTCAGTTCCGAAATTGAATTCTAGAAAAATGGTCTAAACTGCATTATTTATTAATTATTACAAAATGTCGCTCAGACCTTTTTGCCGTGCTCAATATAAAGTTTAAGTACTAAATAATTTTAAATATTTTATTAGTAATATTTAATTTCTTATTATTATATTATTTAGTGGACCCCGTATAAACGGAAAAACATCAAACGAAGAAAAAGAAAATTAAATTATAAATGTACTATAATTAAAAATTGGTTTAATGCATTAAAAAAAATATTATTAATTATTTGAAAACTATTGATTGTTATTTATTTTTTAAATACAAGGTCTATTATCCAGGTCGTTTGTATAAACATTTTTGTCATTGTGCTTCCTTTTTTCAAACAATTCAGTTTGGATTACAAAAAAAATGGGATCTCCAATTTGATTTTTAAAAAATAGAATTATTCACATCATAACTAAATACAAAAATAAATACTACATTCATCTACAAAATGAAACTTATTTTATCATAGATTAAATATACTTCAAATACTCAATGATTGTAATAACATTACGTCATTTCTAGATTTCACCGTGTTAAAACTATCAAAAAGGGAAGCCTTAAATCTGTATACGGGAATTTAACATCCATACCATATACAATTATAATTATTTGACATTCTAAATAATACCAAATTAATAAATAATACTAAATTTACTAACATTTTTCTTTAGTCAAATTATTAATCCTTTCAACTAGATCCTTGTCAGAAGACTTTACATCACTGGCTATATCATCCAGAATCCTTAGTAATCCTGGAAATGGCTCATGCTTCAAATCAACCATTGACGGACTACGACCAAAACCGATTGCTCCTTTAGCTCCGACAAATAATTTCAGCATGTGATCTTCAGCACAAAATTCCGCTTCATAACTAGCCACTGTTTCTACTTTTTCTACTTTGTACTTTTCTAATGGTGTTACAACAGCATAATTGTGGTAACTTGATAATAGCTTCTCGTGAAGGTAGTGAGTCCAAAAATCAAACATCGTTAACACTGACTGTGATTTGACAATATATCCAGGATAATCTGGTATTAGTATTGAGCATAGAGAATGTACTGATGGAGCTAGTTTTCTAAAATAATGATAAAACAATTTTAATTTTAATATAATTTATTCATTTATTTAATTTAATATTATAACTATACCGGTTGATAATAGATGCCACTAAATTGAACGTCTCAGTGTAGAGACCTATAACCAAAGCATTTAGCTGATCACCAATATCACGTTCTTTAAATGATTCGACATCAGGAAATACCAAACTAAACAAATCGTCAGCATTTCCAGCTCCAAGACATTTTGCTGCTCGTTTGGCTGCATCAGAATTGCTCCAAGTCCACTGTACTTTGTCTTTATATATACTATCTATAAAAATCAAATTTCTATTAGTAATTAGTTAACTCTTCTTTTATTTTATTTTATTAAAAATACCAATTTGACCTTTTTTAACAATTTTAGTGTGGCCAAGATGTATAATAGCAGCTAAAACCGCATAAATTGCTTTTAGTTCTGTATTGGTAAAGCCAAGTATCATCATGGCTGACTGTAAACTAGTGAATTCCACAGCAGCCTGGGCTTTATCGACTCCCTGCAAAAATAAACCACACATATTTAACTAACAATAACCATACACCACCGTATCACTAAAAAGCACACACACCTTTAAATCATCATTAATTTGATCCAAATATAGTTCTTTCCTAAGAGCAGGAATATTTTCTATGCCAGCCAACAAATAATAAAACACGTGAAATGAAAATTCATTTGGGGGATGATCAATAAGCCGCCACTTGTCATAAAAATGCATTTGAATAGACATCGAAACAATCTGTCCTCCTTGGTCTAAATCAATACTAAATAATTGTACTGACCTAGTGGCATTTGGATTGTTTGTAATGGCTGCATTACCAAACGCTTCTAAAACCGTCCATAAAGCTTCTACCCTTTCTAAAGTAACAACCTAAGTACGTAAAATAATTTATTAATAATATTGTTTTTTTTTTTAAATATTTATTCAATAAACATTTATTAACATACTTTATTAGGAGAAGCTGCAATTTTCAAAAGATATTGCAGTATATGTTTACATGAAGTGGTTTTGCCACTTGCTTGACATCCCATAGGAATTAATGATTGATCTCTGCGTGTAGTTACGGCTGATTTATAAACAGATTGAGCCATTGCATAAACGTGTGGAGGCGATTGTTTGTTGATTTTATGAAGATTTTTTACCATATCCATAACCTGAGGGTTAAAATGTTTAGATTTTATAATAGGTTTACTATATTCAGAATTGTATACATACTTTATCTGTATACAAATTTAGAGGAGTACCAGGATTGACTACCAACATAGTAGGTCCAGAGTATGTATGAATGAGATTGGAAGCATATCGACTGCGTACTACGTTTAAAATGCTGGATTCATTCATAAAGTTTAACTGAGATAAATCATCAACCATTTGAATTTTCATTGGATTCATCTAAAAGTGCATACACAAATGTATTATTAATATTGTCTACTTTAACAAATATTCAAAAAAATAACAAGATTTTTTTTTATACCTATAATTAGTTAAAGATATATTGAATTTAATTACCAAAATAAAAAAAATAAAAAATCACAACTAGGTTAATAACCAAACAAAACCTAATCTATGTTGGTCGTTAACCATCAACATACACTTCCAAAGTAACTTAAAAAAAATAATATTTCATACAGTCCTTTGGTATCTGTAGTGTTATTTGGAGACATATATATCAAACGCAAAGGCTACTTTGGAACTTAAACAAATGATTCATCAAAATTCGTTAGTTTACATTTGTCTCGTTAATTATACATTTTTAATAGATGTATAATGTATATAAAATTAATATACATTGATATTTCCCCTAAAGATATTTTCCGTCGACGTCATTGACAATGGAACCAAAAAATAACTTTAAGGGAGTAACAATAGTAAAAATTAATTAATAAGAATACATTGCCCTCTTCCGTGTGAACTGATTTACTACAATGTTATACACTGCAACCGCCAGAACATACTATGCTTACAAAAATATGATAAATCAGTATTCTAAATGAAACTAAAATATGCTCCCAATTTTCTAGCATAAAATGTAACTACATAAAATATGTTGTATTATACTATCGCTCTACAATAGGCTCAAAACAAAAACAATTATATTGTAATCAAAATGACTTTAGTCTTGACCTAATATACCTTAAAAAAGTATTTCTGTTTTAAAATGGCAAAAATAAACATTAAACATAAGGTCAAATATTGGATAAATTGACAGAAAAATTAAACATAAAATGTATTAATAAATGGTTTTGCTCCAAACCCATCATAGACCCAGTAAACCGAATTCTGCGTAGCTATATGTTTACATGAAACAATTTTTTTTTAAATAACGTTGTTATGTACGCTGTGATAAAGTGATAACAATTTTAACTATTAGTAAAAAATCTTACTACACTAAAAATATACACAACAGTTCTGGCTTCAAATAAAGATTTTGCGAAAAATTGCGAACTTGTTTAACACTAAAAATCATATTATTTACAATTTTTGTTTAAATTTAAATAATGTAATAATAATTAGTATTTTCTAAGAGTTAATAAAAAAGTTTAATTTAAATTTTAAAATAACTAAAAAAACCTGTTATTCTCGTTTCTGCGTGCAAAGCATTTTAGTGAATAATAATTAGGATGTATTATCGTTAATTCAAAATGTACGTAATAACGCGTTTTACCTTTTCTAAGCTGTCTTCATCCACGCTGTACTCTTTGCCGCCGAATACTTTGACTAAAACTCTTCCATTACCGTCGGGGCCTTTTTTATCGCAGTATTGCACAGGAGAAAATCCGTCACTGTGCACCAGCCAATACGCCTCGGACGAATCTTGCACTTCTAAGTCCTGGGGCAAGTCGCTGAATTCCACGTCTGGCCTAGAGGCGGTCTAAGTAAAACACAATAGAAGTAGAATAAATCAATACAACTGTTAGACGCATAAGCCCACTTTGATTATAATAATTGGGATCGATTTAGAGCAAAATTTAAAAAAAACACTTCAAGTGGCGGCCGCATTCCCGGATAATTATAATTATTAAGAGAAAGTGAAGAAAGTGTTGAAAGAATTCCGTGTCTTTTAGACTCCCGGGGTAACTAACTGCGCGAGATCTCGGATAAGCGTACTGCGTGGTTCTGGATTCACATATAATATTGTTTTCAAGGTGCTGCTGTTTTTATTTTACCTATAGGTCGACCTTTGCTCGGTTTTTTTTTTCATGTTATATTATTATGATAATATGCATCAGTATAATATAAACATTCATATCGCGACTAATCTAAAAAAAAATATGCACAACAATAGGCTCCCCAATGTAATTGTACGTGTGGTCGTAACAACATATACATACATGTAAATGCATTTAACGCGGTAAAGAAATGTATCGCGTGCGAGATAATGAGAAAAAAAACAGTGTCAGTGTGTCTGGCCTAAATGGTCAATGACCGCATCTGCCCGAGAGATAAGAAAATCTTTTGCCCGCCAGTATTCTTATACGATTTCTAAGCCACCGCGATACGTGTTTTTTAAAAGGCTTTTTTTGGAATTGTTTTGTCATTGTAATCCATTTTCATATTTAATTAATAATTATAAATGGGTGACTGTATAGGTCAATAGTACAACGGACACAGTTTGTTAGGGGATAAAAAAATGAACGTCGATAACGCGTATTATAATATAAACAATCGATGAATGATAGAGCATACAAAAATGTTGTCGAAAAAAAAATGGGATTAATAAAAAAACGGTACGCTTGCGCTTTTGTCTACATCGTAACTCCCAAACTGCCGTTATCTAATCTCATAAACGAAATCGTCGACGCATATTAATATTATAATATTTTCAAATAAAGGACAATAGTTTGAATCTACATCGAATCAGATTACATTACAAATTAATGTTATTAATCGTTGTTTTTTTTTAATGGTATACAAACTGCACCAGTGCAAAATAATAAATGAAGAAAAACATTTAAGTACATGGAGTAACGCAATAGGTATTGAAAAAATATCCAATATGTAACTGTATACAGTAAAAGTTTAATGACAATGTTGTAATTTAGTGGCGTGTGTGTGTTCACTGTTCGAACAAATAATACAATGTCAATTTACGCAAAACGGAAAAATTCTATGAAGTATTAAGAGTACAGGAAAATACAACAACTCTTATCTAAACTACTACTTCAGCTTTAGAAAACATCATTGAAGTGGCTCAAAAGAGTGCTTCGTTTTTTTATTCGCAAAATATTGACGTCTTTAAACGAGATCAAAACAAATAATTATGAAACTGCTAAAGACCTGTTAGTGATGAGTGATGACTCATATATTTTTTTGTATAACGCAAATATATTTTATCTAATCAACAATAATTGGTATGGTAAACCTACAAGACGTATTTTCAAATGTTAATTTTCGATTAAAAAAAATATAATTTTGATTATTCTTCTTGTCTTTTCTCACGTAAATGGGGTCGTCAGAGGTAATCCTTTCTCAGCGCTCTTTGGTGACCCCGTGTGATTCTAACAGCTATTCTATACACAACAAATAGTATGTTAATGTCCAACCGCTACTTTACTCTACCATTCCCTCGCGCTCTTCTTCTCATCACTTTTCAAATCCCTCGTAAATCTTTTACTACTGGCGGATCCATAACTATCATAATTCAAAAGCACTAAAACTGTTTTTTTTTATAATTGTATAACGTCAGTAAAGTCCTAATGCAATGCGGATCGCTGGATTATATGCCTTTTATAGACATAAATAATAATGGTTAAAAGAGAGATGCAGAGTTTTAATATTGGTATCATGCTGATGAACAATAGTTGTACAAAAACGATCCTTTGAGTATAATAGGAGTGGCATCCTCATTACAGGCTTACTTAATTTCAATAAATCAACTGGCGCGGACGAAAATAAAACGAAAAACTATACACTATACTGGCGCATTGTGGGCGTCTAGTTGGTTCGAATAATAATCAGTTTCATTGACTGAATGTACAATGTTTGTTCGATGTAATGACTAACGGGCGACATAGTTATTTCCATCGACAAAAAAAAAGTTAAACCCTATTGTTCAGGTCGACGAACCGTTTAAAAAAACAATAATTAACTCATTAAGTAGACAATGTGGACAAACGTCGACAGTGGCGAACCCACACCAAGATGTGACACTGGTCTACATTTTTTAACCCTGGTAGACTATTCGTCTGCCAGGATACAAAATGTACAACGCGGAAGCCTCTCAACGCTATTAGCCGATTCCTACACACATGACCACGTGGGTCCGTATAGGTATCATAACTTGGGCATTATATAACAATAGCATGTATGTCGATTGTTGCATACATAAGCTGGACATTTAGTATGTGTGTGTGGGTTATAGGTAGTATTTGTTGCGCGCTCGTTAGACCTTAACGGGTCGAAACCGTAGCGAAATCCGTAGCTGGTTTCCTGGTAAAATTCAGTTGTTACAAATCGAATTCGATAGTTTTCCAACGGGTTTGAAAAACGCCTAACACCTTTGTACGAAAAACGTATAGGTCGTGTACGGATTTTATTTACTATACGTACTAGACTATTGAGTATTGGGTATCGTGCCGGAAAACGGAACCGTGGAGAAAACCGCGGGACGTTACCAGGCAAAAGCAGAGCACAGGCGATGGGACACGGGGAAATCTCGAAAACTACGCATTAAAAAATACATTAAGCGTTATTGCACGACTACGTTCATCGGGTACAAACGTCTGTCCGTCGAAAAGGTAATGACGACGGAAAGGATATTATTTAGTATTTTGTTTTTTGTGAAATAAGCATTTTAGTAAATTCTTGCGCCAAGAGGGGTTCTTAGAAGTACCTTGTAGTATAATACTATATTCTAATGATTAATTTTCATATGTACTTACAAGAAAAAGTTAATTTGATGACCGAAATGCGAGTAACACAATGCGCGTTTGACAAAAAAAAAATTAAAAATGTCGTTTTGGAAATATGTATTTTAAAGCGGAAGCAAACGGCCAAAATCCAAATCCTAACCATGTGTACTGTTATTAGATTAATAATATCGTTTACCAGTATTATTTTTATACTGACTGAAGTATAATATACGAGACTTGAGCACTTATAATCCATATAACACGTATTTAAAGTTTTCACTGACTAAACTTAAACATTATTCTTATTGATCAAATTAAATAAAAATCGTAGTATATGTTATAAACATTTTTTAACTTTTAAGGTCATAGACTGCTTGTATAACGCTTTCGGGGCACTATTAGGCAAACATAATTTTGTTTTTAAGCTTATAGTGTCAAAGTGAAGGATAGTAAAAAAAAAGGGTGCGTACATAAGAAAATGTTTTTGTAAAGGTTCACTGTTTTTTTAAGTAAACATATTTGCACAAAATGTTGTGAAGTTTAAGGCTTAGAATCCTCATAATTATACTTCTGTGCACATCCACTATCTCAAAGATTTTCTAAAAGATATATATATGTTATTAACATAGGTAGCTGTTTGGTTTGTACTCGATAACATACAATTCGTCTCTTTTTGCTTTACATGGATTTCCATATATAATGCTATAGGGCTTGTTCGTGATACAGACACATTGAAAACACGTACGCCCAAGTGTCCATCCACACACTTTGCCATTTTTTTGTTATTCAAAACCAGTTGCGCGCCGGGTTAAGTTAACATAAATATACCTTAACGACCGATCGGTCCGTGGACGTGGGCCGAGAACACATAGGTTTCCTGCAGTGGTCGACAACCTTCGTTGGCTGTGACTGCATTTTCCGAACAGTGGCCAACGCCGTTGGTGAGGGCGGTACCGACTTCGGCCGGACAGGTATACCGGAAGTCCGGGACAACCGACCCGGGCTCTGGCGAACGGCCGTGTTACCGGCAGCGGTGGACTTGCGGCCGGTGGCCATGTCCTTAGCTAGTACCATAGCGGCCACAGGAGCGCCGGCCGACACTTCGGGAGCGCGCCGCCGTGAAGGGATCGGCGGAGACGATACCTTCCCTTCTGCGGCTCCGCTTTTTAGTATCTCGCCGACCACTTTGGGACCGGCCCCCGACTGGTCTCGCAACGCGCCCGGCGACATCGTCAACATTTATATATTTTTCGACACCGCACTGTACACGAATTTATTGCCACTCGGCCGGTCACCGCTACTGGTTAATATTATAATATTTCCATCCAGTTGATCCGGTTGAATCCACTTGATTTAAATCATAATGCGGTATAATTTGCACGAGAATCAACGCACTAACATGCAACACTTGTTGAACGAGACGCGCGAGAGTTCGAAGCGTACTGTCGGTTAACGCATGAGCCGCCGCCGGCCGCCCATCAATGGGACACGCGTTGCTCTTTGAGTGGGGACGGCTGTGGTGGCGGATCACTGTTTACGCCGCTTGAATCCTAATGAAACGATAAACGGCAGTCTAATTGATAAATTAACGGCGCCCGTTAAAAATACTCTACAACGGTGTGGGTCTATAGCTATATAGTACACACACAAAGACCACACAGTGGTTAAGAATTCAGTCCGAGAACCGATGACCGATTTTTTTTTTTTATTCCATCGACAACAACCATAATTTTGCTCTCATAAATTATTCAACTTTAATAGGATCCGTTGAAAAAATGCAACTCAGAACCTTATTCTATCTCTTTATGCATTTCGACTAGAAAATACAATTAATGCACGTTTATATTCGCCACATTCATTTTTTCCTATTACAGTCACAAACAATAAAATGTACTATTCATTGCGATTCTAACGATTTGGAGCAAACTGCCTATAAAAATTAAACGAATTATTTGGTTTAGATTAACGTTACAGTTTAAAATTGAAACGTTATGGTCAACAATGATAACACCTTGGTTTG